ATCAGTATGTCAAGTTTATTTCAGTGTCATTCCAAATTTGTATATAATATTGTATTTGAACAAATTTAAAAGTATCCTTTTTTGCACCTTAAAATTGGAATAATTCCCAGTACGCCACAGCTCTTTTTTTAGTGTATTATTGTAGTGTAAAAAGTTAATTATATAAAATCATATTAGCTTATAATTGCCAGTAGTCATATAATGGGGCAGTAATCATCAATTGTAGATGTTGCCAGTCACATGTTAATTAGAGATGATAGGCCACATACTCAACAAATATCTCACCGAATTAAAATCTAATGCGTTCATTAAGTACAGAAACTCACTCAATAAACACTCGACACCTACTATACAGCAGAGCAACTTCTCTGGTCTTTTTATAGTATATAATTATCAGATCTCATATAAATTCAACTTTACTTTTCAATTGTAAAATACTAACTTGTTCAGATATATCTACACATTTAATAACTCTTGAACATTTGATGATTAACTGAAGTATATTCTTAAAGATCTGGTTACATAGTTCTTTACTTGGAGCCAATATTAATGCTTGTGTCCCATAGCTATCAGCATTTATCTAAAGCATTTTTTAAGTTATAAAATTGTAAATATTGGTAATGAATTTATGACAATTTACAAATAATTTATAACTATTGACAGTAAATCATTTTCTTACATCCTTGAATTCCAATATTTTTTGTATTACTGGTATAACAAATGCTGCAGTTTTTCCAGATCCAGTTCTTGCCCTCACCAACATATCCTTGCCTTCCAACAGAAGCGGGATACCACGTTCTTGAACTAGTGTGGGTTCTGTCCATCCTTGGTTCGCAATCGCCTGTTAGGAAGTAAGTTGAAATAAAATTCTTTTTATAAGTTCCTAATAGATTTTAAACATATCCATTCATAAAAGTAAACAAAGAATATAACACCCACTTTAAGTATTCGATCGTCTATATTCATTTGGTGAAAGTTAATATGAGTTTCCATCGTAAATGGAATAGAAGAAATAATTTAAACTTAAAATTAAATTATAAAAACTATATGATAAAGCTGAGAAAACAAGCACGTGCTAGAACGGCCCCATGCAACAATAATACAATGACGTAGTCATTAACATAGAGCGTATACTATACTGCATGTTTTGACATATTATCAAAAATCGAAATGTGAGTCGTGAATCGTGATAATCGTTATCATCTAACGAGAAACCTCTGGTAATTGATGATTAAGGATTAACTATTACCACACTGTTACCTAACTACTGGTATATAGTTCTAGCCATGATATCAGATTTAGATGATAATAACCTTCGATCATAATATTATAAGCTTAAAGCTAATAGCACGATTTAAGATATATCATATATATATATATAGCATGATATATATATATATATATTTAGCATGATATATATATATATATATATTTAGCATGACTAAATAGATAGGTATGATCACATCTTTACTGATACGCACATTTCCCTTCAGACCCAGTCTGTTACTCAGCTCTCGGCTTCTCATTGACTATCCATATTATCAAATTGTTCGACAGTATTCCACTCGACCTTTTTACTTCCACTGAGGCAATTTAAAAAGCAGCAAACCGACATGTTTCAATGTTTGTATTAAATTAATAAGTCAATTAAATTAATTAATATTAGCAAAGAAATTGTCAAATTGAATTAATAAGATGTAAAAATTGTAGTATCGTAGTGATATCATGAAATAATTTCATATTATAAAATATTGGCGCCAAAATTATAACGGCAAATGAAATAACGAGAACTACAGTAGGCGTGGTGCGCTAGAATGAACGAGAACTAGTCCTATACTAATTGTATAGGCACAATTATGTAGCCATCATGTTTAATGATATGACGTGACGTTTGGGCAAAACAATTTCGAGTTATTATTAATTTGTTTATTTGGTGTTCAGTGTTCACTCGTTCACAGACTCACAGCGTTTGTCGTTTCGAAATTGGAACCATTTTTTACTGTCATATTGTATGTCTCGAGCCTGTCCCTTGTCGTCGAAAATTATTTTTCACATTCTAGCTTTCATAGTTTCAAACTGCTTTCTTTGAAACTTGAAAGTACCTATTGTGTTTTGAAATGTTTGATAAATGATCATGGTTTTATTATAATGATAGTTAGAGTATGAATGTTGAAAAGCTTAGTTTTTGGTTGCATTATTTTACTTTTGATATTCATATGATATACCAATAAATGGCGAATACACTTTACTAGACTAGGTATAAGGKAACTACTGYCTACTAAAATGTTAAAATACAATAATGGTTTGATTAAATAGTGTATTCTTACCATTAATTGAATAATATTTTATATAATATATTTATATATTGTGTAATCAAGTAATTATATTCTAATAAATAA